TGACTCTGACACCCTCAACAGTTCATACAGCCCCACTGTACCCCCTTTCCTCGCTTTGTTCCCACAGCGAGTGGATGCGAAAATTGCTGTCTTTGTATCAGAGCCAAGCCCCTGGGAGTTAAACTTCCAGGACCATGACTGTGACGTATAAGCCACTCAGGAGCACCTGGGGACGCTCCCAGTTCCTCTGAAAAGTGAAATTGAACCGATCCCCCTGAAAAACGGTGTTAGCGTGACCTGGAATCCTCCGGATTCCATCGTATAGAGAACGTCCTGAATTGCGCTGTCATGCACCACTGCAGCGTCCTTCCTGCTACCAAAGCTCACAGTTGCACAGGGACCTCACGACGTCCCTGGCCCCAGGATGGCTAACCCTTGTTAGCAGGCAGTTCTGTTATGAAGAGCTGTTAGAGACACCGGTGAGTAATAAGTGTAGCGGTGTCAGGATGCAGAAAACCTGCACGAGGCCCCGGTGTGTCAACGTCTCGCCTCAGCCCCCTGCGCCCACCCCTCCGTGTCATCCTGGTGAATGGTGGGGGGACATTGGTCGTGAGCACGCTGTGTCTGTCCGACCTCATGAAGAAATGCAAGTACAGAGGCTTTTAAACAGCATGTCCTAATTAACTCACATCTCTGCTTGTTTTTATTTGTTTCTTTGCTTTCCACGTGACTTGGGAGTAGAAGGGTACATTTCAAAAGGGAAGCAAGAGAGAGGGTTAGGATGTATGGGCACCCCAAGGAAGGCTAATGGGGGTGACCCTCACAATGCAGTGCTTTACATAGCTTTCAAGCATGGATTTACCGTGATGACTCAGCACCAGGGAGGAACCCTGATTGGCGTTTGGTGCGATTTAATAAATACTCAGGGACATTTTTCCCTCTGGGGGGGTGGAACACGTAATGCACAGGACACTGGTTACGCACGGAGGGAGGATGGATGCAGCCTGAGGGGCCATCTTAGGTTGTCAGTGACAGGTGGTCACCTTTTACAGCGTGTGGCTCAGGCACCAGCCCTCCTAGGCCAACGTGACCACTCATCTCAGCCATGTGACAGTCAGATAGATAGAGCCCAGAAGCAAACAAGGCCACCTTGCTCTCCTGCTGCCATGGGCGTGTCTCTAACCCTCCTAACCCCCAGCGCTGGGTCACCACGACCTTTCTCCTGCACAGAGGAGCTTCCCAGAAGACTCAGGAGAAAGGCAGCAGGCGCTTTTAAACATGAGCACGTTCCTACGGCTTTCGAGGTTTCCTGTCAGGAATCCAGGGGGAGGTTTTCCCCACCCCACCACACCCCAAGCTCTCAGGAGCCTCAAATGTTCACACGGGGNCCCTTTATTTTACAGTGGTGTTTGGACAGTTCGCCTATTTCCAGACGGCCCTGAACGATTTAGCAGAATTGTTCGATGGGACACACCCACAGGCCAGACTTCTCAGCTCGCTTTCTGGGTCTCACTCAGGTAAACTTACAAAGAATTTAGACAGCCAGGGTTATTAATTTTAAACTTGTGTGTGTGTGTGTGTGTGTGTGTGTGTGTGTGTGTGTAGAAATTTAATAACCTTGGAATGTGCTCACTTGTTCAGTAAAATCTTATCTTTGATAGAAACAGTCAAATGTACTCTTATCCCATATATAAAAACACTTGCTTTTACCATTTCCCTCACTAAGATTATGAAAACTATAGCATCCATCTCAATAGAAAAGGGAAATATCAGAACAAAAGGAATAACGATTCTGTGTATTTTCTGTTGTTTGTATTGCGTTGTCTTCCAGGAGATAAACACTTTTACCATTTTGGTCTAAATCATTTTAAGCCTTTAAACATGTTCGTGCGGGGAACACTACTACAGCCTATGTGTATACAGAGCATACGCCCACACATGTACACTGTGCATACGCTCACATGCATGCATACAGTGCATGTGCTCACACACACACACACACACACACACACATTCAGACGTATTTGGGACTTCGGACAGCATGGCATATCATTTCACAACTTGGTTTCTGCTCCATATTGTCGCTTGCCGTGACATGCAGAGGCCTTTCCCTATCAAACACACACACAGTGGATGTCATTAGCTCTGAGTGGTGTCCGCGTGGACGGGCACAGCGCGATTCCTGTGCCTCTGCCTTCTGTGGTGACAGAGCCCTTGTCCGTGTGCCCAGCACAGTGACATCATCTCTGGGCGTCACAGGCTTTGGCCAATCGAGGGGAAGCTCTGGTTATTTCTGGTCTTGCACTAGTTTTAACTTGTCTTATTTTCTACCAACGTCCAGTGACGAGATGTCTAGAAAAGCATGAGATGTTG